CTTTAAAAAACGGAAGTTGACGAAAATTGAACCAAAACTATGACCGAATTTATCAGATGTTCGTCAAGTTCACAAATAGTAGATTCATGTACCAACTTATACAACAATGAATAAGTTTGTAGGTAGATAGTGTTCATACGCCAGCATTTTCGAATTGAGAAAAGCTCAGCTGCCCTGTTTGAATTCGAACCCATGCATATAAGGCGACTACTTAAATTTAAACACGTGGCCCTGCTTTAGAAGTTCATTTCCAGGAGGACTCCGGTGAACTCACAGCAAGACCGGCAGTGGTGGTCACTTTAAATGCTCCCTAATTGATGCCCTGTGTGAGAATCTCAGTAACATTGGTTTAGGTCAACTGATAGAGCGTTCACTGTTCACAAGATTCACAAGGCGGTGTGCATGCGGGAATGTTTATTTCTACCAATTTGAACAACAACTTTCACTTCTGCTACGCTAGATGCTGTTCCTGGGAGACGCTCGCTATACCTTCGGTGTGACCGCATCTCGTCTCCCATCTGAAGTAGTTATGTCAAAACAAGGAAAGGGTATACACAAGCAAAGATCTTCGAAGAGTGAAACTCTTATCTATTGCTATCAAAGGTGAGCTAAATAGACTGAACGGTATTTAGACTCATGCACTCATACCTGGGACACCATCAAGCAACTGTCTCGCACAGCAATAGACGTTGAGGAACTAAATTAAACATTCAACAAAAAGTATCAACAACATGGGGACGGAGCCAATCATCACCAGCGCAAGCATCGACCCCAGCAATAAAGAACCATTTACTATTCGACAACAGGATGTTCTAAAAGAGTTGCTGACATTCAAACCTAATATACCACCCGGTCCCGATGGGTTGGATGCTACAATCCTTAATGAGTGCGCTTACACACTTTCACCAGTGCTCACAGCTCTGTTCAACCAGTGCTTGGAGAAGGGGATTATACCGGGTTGTTGGAAATCTGCCTCAATCACTCCAGTGCCTAAAAGAGGCAACTCAAAATTCCGTCCCATTGCACAAGATGTCCTTGCTTCTCTGGTTCACTATATTCTGTCAGCACTTGATGGAAACAAGAAATCTGTCAGAATTTATTTCTTGGAGTACAGTAACGCCTTTAATTGTGTTGACAGTTCTATGCTGTTAAATATTTTGTCTTCCCACGGAATATCGCAAACCATCACTGCATTACTCACCAACTATTTCATAAATCGATCACAGTTGACATGTTATCTTGGTCGTTCCTACTCTTCCTTAATTTCTGCATTAAGCGTATTACAGGGTGTCATTCCATCTCCGTTTTTCTTTTCCACTTATATTTCATTCATGCTTACTTTAAAAAAATTCCCTGCTCATTGAATATGCGGACGATGTTGTGGTCGGAATCGCCCACCCTAATGCATCTGTCACCCCGACCCTCCAACTTGGCCTTACTAACCTTGCTGAGTGGTCCTCTGAGCATAACATGACTCTCAATTCCTCCAAATGTGTAGACATGCTGTTCTCACTTCACACAGGGGGGTATCGTTGTGCCAATCTCCTGGAATCCTGTCCCACGTTAAACATATACGATGATACTATTGTCCAACCCCCAAATGTCAAGTATCTTGGTATGCTAATTCACCGAAACGTATGCTGGTCTTACCAAGTTGTTTCTGTATTTGGAAAAGTCAGGAAACTATCATTTTATGCCTTACGACTGAAGACACTATCCGTCCCTCGCTTATTGATTAAACGTTTTCTTTTTGCCTGTGTTTTACCCCTATGGTTGTACGGGTCCCCAGTAATCTTTTCAGGGATGCTCAAAAAGGACTTTAAATTGCTTTCCAGATCATTAACACATCTATCTATAAAAGCAGTGGGATTTCCCGTGAAACTATCTGTTACTTCATCATTTCCCAATATACAAAGCCATGTTTTTCGTTGTCAACAAAAATCGTAGTCAACCCTTTACATCCATTACATCAAGATCTTATCAAGTGTGTATCCTCCTCTTCCACCCGGTCCCGCTATAATTGTATATTTGCTCGTACGGCCGTCTATCGGTCTTCTGTGGTGCCCTACCTTACCCGATTTCTTGTCAGCCCAGAACGCCTCGCTTCGGAACTTAACTCACTCGTCTCGTAAATTGTTTTCTTTTTCATTGCTCACGATAATTCTGTTATAATTTTATTCGATAATTGTTGGTTGAATATGTGACTGCTGAATATCCACCTTTCTGGTGCATAAAGCAAATACTGGACTTGGGTTGACTTGATTTGACTTGTAATTAGCACTTCTGATTCAAAATCAATCGCGTCTAACTTCACCATGATCTTGTGAAAATGGTCCCTGTTACCTACGTTGGCATTTACTCTGTATTTAAATGTTTGAGGTTATGGTATTGTCTTTTGTATTCGTTCTCATGCAGTTACTTTATTCATATTTGATCAAGTGCAACCTGCCTGGGTGGAGGCTTTTATCTAGTTAAATCTAGGTACTCGTTCAAATGGTACATTTCGCATCAGGTTGGTACCTCACACTGTGCTCGTTTTACGCGTCTTTTTTCAGCCAACGGTCACATTACTCGTGATTTGCAAAAAGAGATATTTCAATAGCGTATTCCTGTCGCGGCGCTCTCTGAAACACATCAATCACTGTTTGAGTCGACCATTCACATGTCTCCTCACTTTGGGTGAAACAATACGATGCATTGTTGCAGATTTTACACATATAGCCAGAACGACACGGAACATTATCAGATTACTTGTAACCCAAAATATGGCCTTTGGCCAAATGGTCAGAAATTTCAATGATCATGAAAACTACTACGAAACACTACAGATAGGGCTATGCGACGACCGATACATTTTAATAAGTTGTGAACATCTAACACCCAAATACAGATATTGATCAAACTCGTGCAACACTCTGACTTTCAGCAAATTTGTTGCTCGCAACGCTTGGTGCTGCGAGCCTCATTCATGCCATTGAATACGATACTTCCTCAAATAGGAGGCAAATTATCTATTGTAATATTCACTTTCGTTTTTATTTCTGTTGGCCGAATGACATGAAATCGTACGGTTTCTGGACGTCGACAACGGTGGACAGTTCATTAGTTGTATGACAAAAAAAACCCTCAGCTAAAAAAATGTAATTAGAATTCAGTTACAAAAACGGGTCATAAACAGGATACAGATAATGTACTTGCATTTTGTCAATGTTCTATTTGTGCTTCTGGCGCTAGTCATTTTTCCCTGGAGTCCACCAAGTTAATTGTCTAACAGCATTTGCAATTTTCCTATGACTACTCACAATCATTTGCGAAGTAGCTGAACTATCTCTGTTTTCATTATCATGCGATTTGAATTTCTTGGTAAAATCAATATGTGCTCTCGCATGCTGGGCTTTTAAAAACAGTATCATATAATGCGATGTCATTAAACGATGCAAACGATTGCGTGAACTAATGGCGGTTAATCCGTTCAGACTGTCCTCCATATTGGTTGTGTGGAACGGTTCTCAGCTGCGATCAAATTTGACCCTCGTATGGCTTCAATATTATCAGTTCTCTTCCTCTTGGTTTATGCTGTGATCGAGGAAATCCGTTGATTATGCAATAAATTAGTCGCATTAGTTGCATTGAAGGATTCGCATATGTCATTTGGAATAAGTTGCTTCTCGGCTTCCATTATATGTCCAAACCTCTTGGATGTTTTATCGGGTTTGGGCATGGCGATACTACAAAATGCTTATTCAACAAACAGCCTACATCAAGGTCAGCTTTCAAAGGTTGAATTTTATGTGTCTTAGAATATACTTCTAGTTCTTTCAGGATAATGGCTACTATGTGAGTAGTTTGTCATCACATCATTTATCAATGTGTTTAAAATAGAACCATTTTAATAATCGGTTTATTTAGTTAGCAACGATGGAAAAGAAGTTGACTACTTACAATATGTCAATTGATCATGAAAAAGCACTCCGTTGAAACGGCACTCATTTATTACAATGAATGAACTTCAATGTTGTTTTGCATAAAATATTTTCAGTTCTGAGCTGTACGTTTCTAACTACTATGAACTTTATTTATCGCGACAGTCAAGGTCGTTCAATTTCAAACTTCGAGACAAGAGAAAGGAGAGCATAGTAGTGGGGCATAGAGTTTGGAATAAATATTCTTTACCTATAGCTAACGATATGCACCCATGATATTGGAAACTGCAATGTATTATTTTAAATGCGCCTCGTATTCCACGACTTCAATCCACAACACAAGAAAATTGCAAAAGGTGTACGGTGAAACACACAAACAAATTCTGTTATCTTGTATTTTCCCTTGTTTAACTGTTTTATCCCCTTTTCACTATGATCTGTACCCCAATCCACCTATCTCATTTTATTGTTATTGTTATTATTGTTGTTGCGTTGGCACCATGGTTGTCTTCAAGCTGGTGGTATATATATATATATATATATATATACAACTGAGTGATTTTATCATGCTCTCTGTTTGGTGCAGTCAGACATTAACCGGAATTTCATTGCCCTAGCCGTGATTATTTCGCTTTTATCAAATGTCTATTTCTCCGGTGGATACATCAAAGTGTTAAATTTATTATTTTGTTTCAGTACAATTCAGTTTCGCATAGACTGTGAACGTCATTAGACATAGCTTGAAGTTTGTATTTAAAAACGAAATAGCATAAATCGTGATAAAATGAAGAAAAGGTAATCAGAAACATGATAAACAGGCCAGTTTGGTTTAAACACATTTAATGCCACACTAATTGTGCGCAAAATAAAATTGGTGTACTGCTCACCAGTGTTGATTGGATAACACCAGGTCTGATTCTGATTGGTAGATTTGCATTGACCAATGAGGTAAACAAATTGGAACGGTTTAAAGCTCTCCGTTCAATTGTGTTTCATTGCATTACGCTTCAAATGCTGTCACATGGAACTACATAATGTGCCTAAATGATTGATTTATGTGAAATTTGAATTGTGAAAATGATAAGTGGCATAACGGAAGTTCCTCAAATACTTGTTGAATCGACTTCAGCGGAACCGGGAGAGGAGTTAACCGTTCCACGAAATCCGCATAAACAGGATGGATGGCTTTCCGTGCCAGATATTACCGCATCGATTGGTGCTCCTTTGTTAGACGATCAAACTAACGGTAGTGCCCATTTGCTTGATGAGCACAGTCCACAACCGTGGCTTGGAACATTATTCATTACCGTGGTATCTGGCAAACCAGAGCGGAAACCGATTCATCACGAACCAGTTTGGGTACAAGTGTATCGAAAATACCCCTCGGTCGGATCACGAATCGGACTCAGGAATACTGAAAGTCAGTCGTACGCATTATTTTTCCCGGCCACGTTTGGTGGCAAATGCGTTACTCGCACCTCTCCCAATCCCTGTGTTACACCACTGTTGTGTCTGAATCTACGGCATGCCACAGTTGTCCCGCAGGATGCGAAACGATTCAGCGTGATCACTCGTAGCGGAGACTGTTGCTCTCTACAAGCCGAGGTAGCTGATGACGGTGACTTGGACTATTGGTTAGAAATTTTTCGACAAAATATAAAAGGACAAACTTTCCCGGCCTTCCCATCTGCAAAAAATGGGCGAATGGTTCGATCGGCCCCGAATTCGCCGGAAAGAAAATGTCGCCTTGTCTGCCCCAACGGGTTTGCTCTTGAAACCAGACTACGGATTCACGATTCTACGGAACCATTGAATGATATCGTTGAAGATGAGGATGACGAATGAAGATCCCACAAATATTCCTCATTTATTCGCATATCTCATACCACCAATCTCGGCCATTCCCAACAAGTTCAGCTGTTATACATATATGGATCTCGGTAGATGAAGTGGCTTTCCATAGATCCACAGAAACATCCACGGCGGTACGCCAATGAGCCATTTTTTTTAAAATGCCCGGTTGCGTACCAACTGCACTTGCCTCTATAAATTCATCCTGGGATACCTGTGAGCAACACGAGGATCCCCAAGTGCTGACTCATCACTGATGGTGATTCATTTACTCGATCAAATTGATTTTTTTTCTACCTGATATTCAGACGAAAGTCATGAGAACTGTGCACAAAAAAATAAATTTAATTCTGTCACGTCCATTTTTACTTTATTTGATGTTTTCAAAATATAATCTACGAAAAGGTTTGAACAAATTGTCCTGCTCGTGAAGTGACATAGTGTAATGCTGATTAAGTCTGTCAAGTTTTTAGGTCTATCACAGTAGATACAAAAATGCTTTGCAAGCATTTGTTACATTTTGGGGGAAAATATTCCCCCATACTTCCCTTTTTGTTATTTATAGGAGTATAATTACGTCATAGAACCTTCGTATTTTTTTTCTGAGCGTAACTGCTCTCAAAATAACATTATGAGGTACAGTAGAAGATATTATGTTGCAATATATCAATCGCCCAGTTTCTCTTTCTCAAAAATATTGTGGTGCTATTCGCTGCGGTGATTCTGACACGGATTATCCACTTACTACTAATATTTTTCGAGCAAAACGAAAAAATGAGTTTACTCACTTATTCAAGGAGTCATAGGAAAGATGAACAAATTGATTACTGAGGAAAACCAATTGAAGGAAACTGTAGATGGTGACCAGTTAGGAATTTGGAATACTCAATCTGAGCATTACTTCACAATTACTCGAAACCTATTTCAGCAAAATATCTCACCAAAATCGGAGGGCTTTGTTTTCACAAATCTGACACCGTTTGGACGTTTAATCAATCTGCGTATGCACCTGTGTTGGGAGCATAGTTGACGTTTATCCAATCCCTCCTGTGGTTGAGCATCTGGCCTAGAAAATGTTGACATATACCAATGGAATGTTGATACTGAGGTGAACTGTCGGGTTGGTTTGGGAGTGAGAAACGAAACTGTCCGACTTTGATCCGCTGTGTTAAGTACTGAAAATCATGGAGAGCCCGGAGTAAGCTAAACGCGAAGTTTCATCTGTTCGAGTTCAGTAAAATCATCTATCAAACCGTAGAATAATGAATTTCTTTCTCTCTATCAAGTATGATAGATGATTTGAATGTTACCGGAAAACCAAATGTCAAAAATAACATGGAGAATTCGATGGTTAGTTACTCCGAAATTCCCAATGCAACGACAAACAAAATGAAGGCAATGCAATGGGTTGGTAAACACGACAGAGCAGCATTGAATATTTGAATATTTTAAATCTTTACAATTTCCCATACGTCATCGAGATTAGTGCCACAACATGCCAGAATTGAAAATTGTAAAAGTTTCAGATTGCGTGGAAAAGAAGTGCCGAGGTAAGTTCCTGGTGTGACGGGTGAACGCTTCACAAAACATAACAAGCAAAGCACTTACATCAGGGTTATCGCTTCAACGGAAACGGAAAACAATTGGCAGAACAGAACGATGGAAAAGCAGAGGGTTCGCTTGGTCTCCTCAGTTTGTCCCAGTAATATTAGATATCCCGGACATTGAAACCCCGTCATTTTGGATACATAGTTCTCATTACGTTGGCAGTTGTTTTTCGAGGTCGGTTGCAGAAAAACCAGCAGACGAACAAACGCATTCTCTTTTTCGCACTCTGGAAGCACACAGCTCTGTCGAGGACACGTTGCATCTGTCTATAGTTATCTCCAGTTTCTGCTCTCAAATAAAAACATAGACTTCAGTCAGACTTGTTCAGATCCAGGGATTTAGCAATCACCACGGTGATTTAACGGGGTTGTTTCCAACCGTTGTCGTCAGGCTAATTCGTATGCTAGTTGGCAAGCGTGAGTGTAAGCACGAATCGACCTTCAAAGACGACTGAACGGGGCAGGTACTGAAGAAACGTAAAACGAGAAATCAACACAACTCAGAAGTGAAGGTCACATAATATCGTGATTGATACTCGGTAGATGTGTGCGCATATGTTTACCTAGGTCAGGAAAGTTCAACATGCACCAGCTGGTTTATATTTGTCCGTCTCGGAGAACAGATAGTCTAATCATCTGGTATTCCAGTATTACCAAAACGAGCGTAAACAAACAAGCGCGTGAATAGAACCCACCACAAAGAATGACCGATTCGAACACGTGCTCTATTTTGTGTCTACATTTTCAGTCTCTTCTTTAGATGACACAAATAAAAGCATGAAAACAAATAGCACAAACATGAAGCGACTAAAATGGCGTCCAATCAATTTAACTGGTGCACCGAACACTGCGGTTTCGCATTTCCTGATGGGTTTTCCGTATTTTTATCCATTGCGAACGAATCATTCCGGCTACCAAAGACCGAATCGCGGCCAGACTGAATGATACTTGCTTGAAGCGAGCACTAACCAATGATTCATCACAAAAACGCTCTTCTGTTTAGTGGCTTCTTCCACTCAGCAATTAATTTAATGGACAACAACCGAGTTCGGACCATGTTCATCTGTAATTGTTTCATTCTCTCAGTGTCCTTCATTGCTTTCGCAAGTCCGCGAAAAATACAATGTCAGTTATTGTGTGTTATTCGCAGAATGACAATCGCATATCATGCATCTCCACTGTCTCGCGTCATCAGTATCCATCTTTGACTTCAGATATGATACACATTCGGTAGAAAAAAATGGTTCAGCTCATTGACATATGCCTCATAAATTTCAACGTATTTATCACTCACTAATTGGTAGCTGCGACACAGCAGTGTGAATTTCTACATCAACTGGTCCAGAACTTGAAATTAGCAAAACTCACCTAATTGGGGATACAGATCACGTTCTTGTGTGAGCTTGTCGAACAGAGTACCAAGTGTCCGACGTCTGGAGGCATTCTTCACGACATTATACTCATCTTCGTCATCTTCGTGCGTATTGTTTTCACAAGCAAATGTCTAATTGTGCAAAAGGAAAGATCGCTCGACGATTTCCACGTGTCTGCACGCGTGCGCGTGTGTGCATATATAAGTTGAATTGAGTGATTCTGTGTTCACGATCACCTCAGACAGTACACCTGGCTTTCGCTGTTCGCTACTCCGTAAGCGAGAATCACACGTGAATATGAAAAGATACAATATCAAGAAAAAAGCATCTGATGTCTGACTGTTTTCACCTGTTCTTTGAATATGGATAAAATGAGCTCATTTGTTTCAACAAAACTTGACCATCTGTTTCTCAGATTGTCCACTTCTGCCTCGTCGCGGATAGTGGTTCGAAATTAGTGTGTGTGTGTGGGGGGGGAGAGGTGTGACGGACAAAAACGATTTGGCAATATTTTTGTTACTTTTCATCACGATCCTAACAATCCGATTTTATCTGGGGAAAAATAAATGTGTTAAAAGAGTAAATCGACTGAGGTAGAAAATACTCTGGATTTCATTTATATATTGATGTGAATAATCCAGTCGCAGTGCGCGTGTTATCATCTGATTCGATAGACATGACTAGCAACTGGCCAAAGATGATTGTGATGTACAGGTTGGGGTGAAATGTGAATACAATCAGTGCGTAGCCGCGGCGGATCCGAACTGGATATCACGAAAGCGACACAAAGCAAGCAAAAAACAAAATATATACTGATGGCGGACTTTGAGCAACTGTAGGCACAATAGTCACTCCATGTGTTCAACCAATGATAGAGAGACACAGCAATCAGTGTGTTTGGTCTTTCGGAATGCGTCAATAGTTCATTCCCTTAAATAAATTCCCAACATTTCCTCATATATATTTGCATGAAAATATGTAACTGTTGACTATGTCTTCGAGAGAAACGAACCTGCATTACTCACCGCTTTTTGCTTGCGTTTCTGGCAAAAAGATCCGAATGATGTTAGGAACGTTCGATCGAAATGGAAATCCATTATCTACTGAACGGAAATACATACCTGAAGTAAGGATTGTGAAATCCTATCCATGTTCACACCGATATGAGTTGAAAGATGAGGCGAGGCTACGGATTGGGCGCGGAGGAGCTGCGTAAGCAAACTAAATATCTCATGCATTCTGTTTTTTTTTCGATGGATCTTTGATTACACATCAACACAGAGTCAAATTACTGCTTTTTTGGTACAACACAGGTTATCATAGATTCTCAGCGTGCTGCTTTCAATCAGTGATGTGTGCATTTGATAATTGCTATGAGTCCCGCTTTTTGAGCAGTTATCAATGAGACTGTTCAGGTGATTTCAAGTGAGTAATAGAGAATTTGTCTAAATTGCAAATGTGAATTCGTCGTGTACATAGCAAATGAAGCGTGAACTGAAAAGCTAGGAAGCAGTGGACAGCTGTTTCGACTTGGTTTGGTTTCATCAACAGTGCGAACCCATTGAAACCACTCGGGATCGAACCCGGGACGTCATGGGCAGAATGCAAGCAAGCTACTCACTCGGCCACCGGGCAGCTGATCAAACTGTTTTTCATTTTCCAATTACACGATATATCACAACCCATCTTTGCGAGGTCGTTGCGGACCACAGTCCCTGCTCATCCCAGCACTAGCCTCCGGGTGAGGACTCGGTTGGAAACATTCGCAACCTGACAATTCAGATTGTATGTCGATTGTGAAAAGTTCAGTAGCCTCGGTGGGATTCGAACCCACGCATGGACACCGCCTACGCTTTGTACGCACATGCTCTACCAGCTGAGCTACGAGGCCACACCGATAGCACTGATCTTTTTCACATTCGAATTTAC